AGGCTAGCTAAAAGAAAAACATTTCTACCCAAAAAATAAATATTAAAAAATTGACATGAAAAAATATTACATTAAATAAAAAAAAACACCTCTCACTTAATTAAATTAAAAATATTGTAAAACAAAGTTCCAAACTAATGATGAGATTTCATAAAATGACTAGTTGTCCATCGTTTGTCATTCCAGGCGAAAATAGTAATTTTCTGTATGATCGATTTTTATTCTTATTTTTCCACAGATTAATTATTGTCAATTTGTTGTATTACAAAACATTATGAAGTAATGTTATAATTTGATGCCGTATGCATTCATAATTCATAATTCAATATATAATAATGTCAGTCACCTATCCCAATATTATTAAATCTAATCATAAGAAAAAAAAATAGAAGGTAAAGGTAACAGGAAAAGAGAAGAAAATCTTGCAATTCCGACCACCAAATCTTGGGCACAGTTTGAAGCAGAAAATTGTAGAAAGAAAAAGCGTTACACGCGAATTCATTAAAGTTTTATAAGTATCACGCCGTCTTACATATAGTTGTTTTCTTTTATTTCAGATTTGCTGTGTTGTTCTGCTCCTCGCACGTGCCTTCAGAGATCAACAATAAAACTAAAATAAATTAAAATCAACGTAAAGCTGCCACACAACTCTAAACCAAACATCACTCAAACCCACCTCACACATCCCACCCTCATTCAAAATTACATTTTCTCATTAGTTACAAATTTTTAATATGTACCCAAAAAAAATTAATACTCACAAAATGTTTATGAAAAAACTACATTTTTATTTTTTTTACTAAAATTTTACATTATATTTACGAACAAAGAGCTGTTATATTTATAAAACCCATTTAATAATCATTATTTTAAATAAACTAAGAATATATATCATCAACAACACGTGATTTTACTTATCATTGACCGTGAAATAAAAAATACTTACTTTTTATCTTGTATTATTCGTCTTTTAAGATAACGTATGCGTTTTTACAAAAATATTCAGAAATTGTTTTTCTAAAATTATTTTTTATTAAAAGAATTCATATATGTTTATAAGCTAATTAATAATTTTAAGTTATTTTATTATTACTAATAATAATATATTAATAAAATTAAATATTATACTCTGTCTTTGTCATTTTAAGTTGTGTATTAATTAAATATTGAGATTTGAAATAAAAATATTTACTCATTTTTCAATATTATAAATAAAAAATAGTTATTAAAATATCAAATAAAGGTAAAAAATAATTAATATTTTTTATTATTATTCTTGACATAATGTTCAACACTTCATATTTATATTAAAATGGGTTTTATTAATAGAGTTTTAAATAATATTCATATAATATATATTTAGGAAAATTATTAAATGAAATTTCACGTCTAGTAAAGAGAGAGAGTATCATTTGAACTGCCTAAGTAAATAGGTGTAGGATTGTGGAAATGATCGCAGCAATGAGATTGTATGTAATAATGGAATGTGAATAGTTAAATTGATGCGAATAATGGTGGAGATGTGATGCATTAGCGCACGCTTTAGGATACTACTCTAACTCTACTCTACTCTACACTACTGTTTCTGTACCCATGCCAGGTTAAATTATTCTAATATCTTCCATTCTCACCCGCACCATAGTCAACCCTTATCATCATCATATGTAATATGCTATGCCTCTTCTCTCCCTCTTAGTCCATTTAATGTGTGTGTCTATTTGCATTTGTTCTGTTTTTTAACCCATATTTGCAAAGCAATGAACATTGCTTCCTGCATTGTCTTCAGCTGCTGTCTGCATTCTCCAAGGACTCAGACATATGTTTTCATGGTTCCAAAACTTACCATTTTGGCTCAATGGATTCAATCTTTTGTCTGTCCAAATTATAGAAAAGCCTTTAATTGGTGCAACGGACTGTCGTGTGCCATGCAACTGGTACCATCACTGCCCCCTGCTAATGTTGGCCCAGTATGGGTTGGGTTCTAAGTTTTTTATCAATAGTTGACATACACAAATATGGTCTAAAAATGGAATTAGAGTTAGTGCTCAAAAAATATATAGTTGAACTTTTGCAAATCATAATTAAGAGAAAGCTTAGAACAAACAATTATTTATTATATGTGTGTGTGAAAAAATATCATCCCTATCATGAAATGAACTTGTGACAACTTCATTTTGAGGGATGGATTTAAATTGGACTGATTAGACTTTCTAAAAAATAAAACTGAAATATTCTGTGAACAAGGTCCCGTGTAAAGCTCACCTCATGTCAAAAAAATAATCTTCTCTTAAGGCCTTCGTTGTAATACTTCAAAGTAGTCTGTTTATTTAAAAAGTCCATGATCCGGATTTAAAAAAAAAAAAGCCCATGATGAAAAAGAGATATATTAAAAACCTAAATCTTTAGTAAAAAGAAAATTCATTCATTCTTGAAAATTAGTTTAAAAGCAAAATATTGCTCCAAACTTATAAAGAATATTATTTCTAGCTAATGTAAAAATATTTTAACACTTTTATGCATTTACAATCACACTTTTAACGCTTGAAGTTTGTAGGTCTAAATATTGGTGAATAATTTGATTTTAAAATTAACTCTAATATTATATTAAAAATTTAAGTTTAACTTGTCACTTCTAGTAATTTTATCGTATTCGAATAAGATTTTTTCCCAAAAAAAAATACTCGTGGTGTAGAAAAAAAAACAACTTTAAAAAATTAATTTAAGAAAAGAAGTTACTTAAAAACTTATTAAAAAAATTATTTAAAGCCAACACTTATGAAGTTTGAAGTGTGTTGGATAATAATAGTGTGAAAACAGGAATGGATAATGATATATATTTTTTATATTAATATTGAATACTAATCAACTCAATTATAAAGGCTTCTGTTTGTACAAAGGTGTGTATGTGACAGTGATTTTTATTCAAATTTTGTTCAATGCGTTAAATTCTCGATAGCTGCCTTACTTTTGTTCGATTTTAATCCCATTAAAATAAGAAAACTGTTTTTTTTTTTCATTTTTATTCCACTCATTTTATTGGATCAACTATTATGTGTTCTTTAAGTAATAAAATTCTTTCCTTATTTTTAAATGTGTATCACTACAATAATTATACGAAGGGTATAATTAATAGGAGTTTTAATGATACAGAATAAGTATTTAATACATCTTAATAAATACTTTCTTTATTTCTTTTTATCTACTATCGTTCAAGGTAAATGAAACACAAATTCGAAAGTGCAATTAATCGTCCTTTATCTTAAAATTTACTCTTATAATATAAAATTGGGTCCTTATTTTTAAAAATGGAACAGCTTTTATACATACTTTTCTCATAACGTGCCTTTATCAGTTTTTACACATCTTGAAGGCTTTTATATTAAATCAATTAACACTGTTCCCCATTAAGTAATTATCCAACAAAAACAGAATTTTTTAATTAAATTTTTATGCAATTTCCTTAATTTAATTCATTCTTAAATTTGTTCAGTTAACATTAAGTATAATAATATAATTAAAAAATATTCAAACAATAAATTATTAGTTAAATAATATATAAAATTACGTCCACTCTTATATTGTTTATTAATTTTTTAATTGAATAATTTAATCTCAAAATTAATTGTTAAATTAAAATTATAATAATATTAATCATATTTAAAAAAATTTAAACTGATTAAAATTTATTTAATACCTTATTCACATATATCAAAATTAACTTAATATATAATATTGAAACATGAATATAGTGACCATTTAATTATATTCTTATAATCATTTAATTTTGACAAAATTTTACATAAATCAATAAGGTAATAAATAATTATAATTCAACGATTGCATTAATAAAAATTATATTTTATATTAAGTTATTGATAATACAAAATAAAGTAAAATATATAAGATTTAATTTAATCTTTCTCATAAATTAAAACTTTGAAAATAGTATATTTTATATACTTCATTTTTTTTATCATTAAAACTGTCTTTTACTCAAATTTGTTCATTTTTACATTTTTACATTTCATGTGTATAAATACTTGTGTAGCACACAAAAATTAGTTATTTTTTAATTTCTTATCACACTAAAAATTAGCTTCTTTTTTTTTAATTTCTTTTAACAACACACATACACAAATTACGTTAATAAGCATAATTCATCAAAACGCAATAGAAAAATTAGTATCCTCATTTTTTAAAATTTATGTTAATAAGTATAATTTATCAGAACAAACTCTTTAATTAATTTTAAAAAAATTATAATAAAAAAACGGAGAAACCCATAGTCTTTCTTTTTGTATATTTATCCTCGTAGCCTAACCGTTAGTGCATGCGAAAGAGGTTAGCAATAACCTTATCAACAATAAAGCAATGGTCTAACAATCAAAGAGTCATATTGAATAGCTAATAAAGCTTTTAGGCATTAAAGTGGAATCTGTCTGATGACAAACCAACAACATAATTTGAAAAAATGGAAACTCAAACCGATTATTAAATGACTAATTTTATAAAGATAATAAAAATTTCCCGCAAACATTACCTTATGCTACTAGTTCTGTCCCCCCCCTTTTTTTTTCTATTTTTCTCTCATTTTAAAAGTAAAACAATTGAACAAATGAAAAACTCCGATGTACTTACACATACGCTAATCCTTATCCCCTCATTCAGTTTCTTTGTTCTTTAGTTGCTGTTAAGAGATCTAAAATATTTAACAGCTGGTGTTTACTCACTTCATGCCAATGGCATGCAATGTGTGTATTAGATTGTTCACTTGATCACCCACCTTCAAATCATGACCCACCTCACCTTATATATAATTTTGGTATCCTTTACATTCGGGTCCCTTTTTTTTAAGAAAATAAAAAAATAAATTATATCTAACTATCTCTTGCTGCTTCCTTTTGGTATTGCATTGAGGGGGCACTTTCCATAAAACACACATAATGTCCTTTTCCGGAAAAGCATCCTATGGATGATGGAAAAATTTCCAACCCACATCACTATAATAGCTCTGCTGCACAGGTTTTGTTTAGCTTCCTCCTTTTGGCATCAGGGCTATTATGTGAAGAGTTTGCACATGAACTAGCATTTGTGTCATCACTTTTGTAGCTGAAACATAATGCTTCTAACACCCCTATTGGGCTATGTGGCACACAAGTGACGGAAGCACTGGAATCCTTGGCAGAGGCACTGTTGGATGACAGCTCGTGGATCATTTTAACACATTTCAATAATCTCTCCTGCCAAAACCCAAATAACACAATGTAAATACTCACTAAACAACCAATCATGAGCATTTTTCATCAATTACAATTTAATCAACTAAAAATAATCACAAGGTGGAAAAAAAGTAAAACTATGGTAATGTGTTCACTTTTTTTTCTCTTCTTGTCATTGGACCACCATCCTTACCTTTTCTACGTGTTGAATCAGAACAGAAATTGTTTTCCCAGTGTCAACTGTTTGGGTTTCTTCTCCCATCACATACACAGCCACTGCTGCGGCAATTTCTGATGGTTTGAATTCCAAGAAGTCAATCCCTGCATTGATTTCACACCATTCAAGTTATCATCTCTAATTCCATTCACAATTATTATCATTGAAGAGATCAAGTGAACAACGTGTAGTGAAGTTAGGGAGAAAAACTGATGGATACCTCTAACAGTGCTTGATATAAGTTGGATGGATCGCATAATTGAAGATCTTAATGGGCTTTGATCACCGTTGATCTTGCAAAGGAAATAATCTAGGAAAGAGAAAGGAGTAATTGCCTGCATTCTCCACTTTAGTGTGCTTAGAACTAGAAGCTCCATTCTCTGTATAGTTTTAGCTTCAAATACAAACTTTGATTCACCCACCTGCATTAAAGACAATGATCAGCAAATGCAAAACTAATACATTGACTTAACAACTACTCCTCCAAACCATTGTAAAGACAAATTCCTACCTGCAAATCAAGAGATAGCGGAACTTCAGTCTCTTCCACTTTGGCTGCCAGAGACAAGCAAGCCACAGCCAACAATTGCATTGTCCAAGCTCTTCCCTTCTGCGAGTGGAAAGACTCAGATCAAAACCAATTGAGACCACAATGAATAACCCCTCAAAAAAATTATTTTTTTTCCTTCTTGTCTTCATTCCTTGTCACTTACTGGTAATTCATAAGCAGAAAGGAATCGATCCAAGTAATTTATAGATAGGTATGCACAGAGAGGACCAAAACCAAAATGCGCTCGGACCTAAAAAAAAAACATTTTTATTTGTTCGTTAGTTAGATCATAGCAAAAGGGAATTAGATAAAAATGAAGCAACCATAGTTCAAGCTAAATCCATCTTGTGAGGCTAGTTTTGGACATATGCATGAACAAATCAAGAGAGTTTCATTCGATCAAACTTCAGAATACAATAGGAGAACCCACGAGGAACCAAAGGAATCAATCGATGTGAAATCCAAACAAAACGGTGCCCTTTGCAAAGAAAGTCAAGGTTCAGATTTCATTTCAGACCATCAAAAGTAAACACGAAGATTTCAGAAACAGCCCATTTTTTCAGTTTTCACAAGCAAAAAACACCAAAACCCGCATGCCTGAAAAAGATTGGAGCTTTGGACTTGTTAAGAAAGAGCAAAACTAAAACTCTTGAACCCACCTTTTGAATCCAATCAATGGCCTCCATTCTGGCCCCGAAGTCCAAATCCCCACTTCGTAGCTTATTCAAGTAATTAGAACGAGGACAGTGTTGGCATTCCTTTTCCACCATTAACGCCAAGCACTCATCACTCTGCAATGGCAACCCGTCTGCGTCAACAAAGTGTTGGCTCCTTTCATGGTACCTAGGACGCCACGTGTCCTCGTACCCCTCCACCGTACCCCCATAATGGCTATCGTCGAAAACACTGCTATCCTCTGTACAAAGGAGGCTCGAAACACAGTCAAAACTGGGTGCCATTGCAAGACCTCAAATTGAACTCAACCACACCCTACCCTCTTTCTCCAAATTCACAAAAAAAACGTGACTTTTTGTTCAGATTATTGATGAGGTCTGTGTTTCAGACACAATAGGCGATGAATAGAGTTTCTTTTACGAAATTATTAGAAGGAACAAATGACAAGCGAAAATAAGAACAAAAACACTATAGAGCCACGCAGTGCTTTGTCTCTCTCTTTCAAGTTTCAAAGCTTTGGCTGAAAAGAGTGGCGCAGGAGAGGGGCTTATGAAGGAAACGAACACCCCTTTTTAGGGTAAAAGGCAGAGAGAGAGCGAGAGAGTGGGGTTGGCGACAGAGGGGTTCTGAGGAGTGTGAATTGTTGTATTTGTAAAAATCATAAAAACCACCAAAGGGTATTTACCATTTTGTAATCTTACTATGTTTGAGACACCCAGTGACACTGGGAGAAAAAAAAAGTTCTTAATTTTATAAATGAAAACAAGAACAAATTAATTTATAAGTGAAAATAAAAGTGAAGAGAAAAAAAAAAACATGTTTTCGTGATTATTTATTACAAAGAGACGTTGGGACTTGGGAGGAGAAGAGGATTATCAGTATATTCTTTTTTTACATTTTTACCAACAAAAAAAAATAATAGCAGTATATTCAATTTGATGGACTTCGTGTTTACGCGTCTGCTACAATTTAGTAACTATGATGCAGATGGTCACCAATTTCTCAACCCATAGTCCTATTTAATCCAAATTATGACTTACTCCATTTCGCCCTGGAAATATTAATAGCTCTGCACATTTATTTTACCAAAAAAATATTCCTTCAAATTCTGAATGTAATAAAGCACAAGCGTCAATTATGTCTTAGTCTCACTTTTTTTGTGGCCATTTTTCATGATGCAATTTCTAAATATACAGAGCGTTGCGACTGTTAGTCAATGTAATAAGAATCTCCATTTAATACGCTTCATTTACCTTTTTGTTGGCTTGATGGGTCTTATTTAACAAATACAGAGAAAATACAGGTACAGTGTTTAAAAAATAAAAGTATTAAATGAAAATAAAATGGGATATTATTATGAATGGCAATAGAAGGAGTGAAGAGTAAAAAAGTGTTTGAAGCGGGTACGTGCATAGTGTGTTGTTTTGTCCCGTGTCGACGCGTGTGCTTCGCTGACATTGGGTGATGACCGGAAGCGTCCGTTTCGTTCTCAAGTCACTTTTCTGTACTACATACGACTACTAGCTGTCATTTCCCTCCAATCTTCCCCGCCAAATACCAACGTTTATTCAATTTTACATTATTTATCAAAATATATTATTATTATTTTTTATCCAAACTAAAATATAACAATATTTTCTGTCAACAAATAATATAGCCATCTTCACATGATACTAGCAATAATCAGTGATGGTTCAATGGGTAAGATTTAAATTTTTCATGTATGAATTTTAGTTTAAAAATTTAAATTAAGAGAACTGTTTTTTTTTATCTTTTGAAATTGCATATATTATTATTTTGTCCTTTCAAAATATTCATCGTAAATTTATTAAAACATATTCTAAAAGTATTTTATGGTCACGGTCTTTGACATGTGATAGTGTCAGATTAATTCAGTTTTTTTACCTAAAATATTTTATAAATTTACTAATCCTTTCATGTGCGAAAAATTATAAAACGTAAATCTGTTAAATTTTGTTCACATAATTTACCTTCTCATCGTTATGTTTGCTTGTGTTGACTGTAATTTGATATATTCATGCTAGTAATAATTTTTAAAATTTAGTATATTTATGTTTAATTTTATTTATTCAGTTTTTTTATATAAAATAATTATAAACAAATATAAACCAATACACATTTACAAAATTTTATTCTAATCATTTAACATTTTGAGAAATTTGTATAAATGTTTTTAACTTTTTAAAGATGTCAAAGAAACCTATGCATTAGTTTCTTAATATTATTTCAATAATTTTATCATCAAACAATATTTCAAATGTCACTGTATTGTTTGTTATAAATCATTAAGAGAATAAATTGTTAATAAATTAAATACTAAAAATTAAAATATCATTATATCGGTACTTATATAAAGACATTAGCAGTTCCCCTTTTTCTTCAAACAAATATACTTGTTTTCATCAAATGGAAGTTTGACTATTTTTAACTATAAAACAAACAAAAATTATAATAATGAAAAAATTATTTATTAAGATCATTAGGCAATTAAAAAATATTAAAACAATGACAACTAAATCATTTAAAAATTTGATTTAATTTTTTTTAAAATTAATAACACGGGTAAATTTTAAACATATTTTTTTTTCTAGAATCAACTATACTTTAAACCGTCTTCATATTAAACAAAGAAAAAAATGAATTTTTAATTTATTTTATTGTTTTTTATTATTATTTAAAGGTCATTTTGATATTATGAAGTATGTTAGTTTGTTTTTAAAAGGGAAATTGCTGAGAAATTCAAAAATAAATTTAAATGTAATTACTATATAAAAAATTTAAGAAGTTTCATATATATTTTTAATATTGACAAGTGTCTTAAATATTAATGATATTTAATGGTATTTGTTCCATGAAAAATATACGATAAAAAAATGTTTAATATTTTTAATTGAGGATTTTTTTCTGTTTTTTTAAAATAATATTAGATAATATTTTATAACTAAAATTAATTAAAGGCAGTTTTAGTATTTTCCTGAGTCTAAAATAGAATAAAAGAAACTCTGAAATAAATTTATAAAAAAATTATTAAAATGCAAAAATACAAAAGATTGTTTTTCTAATTTTTTTTCATGAAATAAATGATCTCAATGAATTACAGATAATGTGAACGAAATTAATTATTTTTATTTTCAGATAAGGAGCATCAGAATAGAACCATGAAAGTTTGGACTTGACACTGTAGTTATGAAGAGAAAAGACTCCATATATGTGTATTAAGTATAAAAATTCATTTTAAAATAATATACTAATAAAGTCATTAAATAAAAAATAATAATTCAGCATTTTATTCTTGCATAGTTAGTGTCTACACAGTAAATAAAATTCCTTTTCAACCCATGGGAATGTAAATTAAACTAATAATGAGAAAATTTAAGTTATACACACAAGCTTTACCTGTACTGTTAAAATACAATTAAAACAAAAACTAATCATGGCAGACATCAATTGTGATCGGCCTTTAAAGGAAAAACAGACTATTAAAATACTTGTCAACCATTTGAATTTCAATTGACCTTTTTGAATAATAAGTATTTTTTTTATTTTCAGATTTTTAAAAATAATTATAATAAACCATAAAGATAGTATCTATATTTTTATTGTTAGTGTATAAATAAAAAATATTAAAATAATAAAATATTTGTCACTAGTTACAACAGTGTGAACCCGTGCTTTGGCTAAAATTTAAAGAGTAACCGTACCTGAAAAAATAAAATAAAATAATTCGCTCAGATCAAGTGGCTAATGTACATGAAATTATAATTCAAAATACTAATAATTTTTATTAAAATCCATATAATTTAATATTATTAATATAACTTTTATAGTTTTTAAATATTATATGTAACATTTTATTTTATTTTCTAAAATGCATATTAGAAAATTATATTTTTTAAGTAGCAAAGTACACAACAAACCAGTATTTCCATTCCCGCGGCGAATTCCAACGAATTATCACATATAATTTTTTTCTCACGTCTTCTGACATCTTATATGAGAGGTAACGTCTAAGAATAATTGATTTTTTTTAATAAAGTCTAATAATAATAATTAAGTTAAAGTTCTGATAGGGATGAAATTATGAAGGTGTGAAGATTGAAAGAGACTAGCATTATCTTTTCAGCTACGCAAGAATAAAGTATGTGCTAATTCAGTGCAAAGGTAGACGGGATAAAAAAATCTTATTTACAAAATTTCATTACAATTGTTAATGTTAAAATATAAATATTATTAAATTTTAATTAATTTGTCTGTTTTCATTTAAAATAACTTCATCTACAATCTTCTCTATCCATTTATATATTTATAAATATTTTTATTTAAAATTTTATAAAATTTTAATAACAATGAGAACCCAATAAAAGGATATATGTTTTCATACTTTTAAATGCACATTATGTTAATTATGAAATGTAATAGCTAATATTAAGTAATCCTAAGCCAAATTAATGTTTTATAAACATAGTTTTAAAATATTTATAATTAATTCATGAATTTTAAGAGAAAAAATTGATAAAAAAAACATTAAACGTTGCAAGAGTAAAATTATCTCACAATAAACCCCGCCTTTTTATTTAACTTTACTTATTTTTTACATTAACAATATGTTAAAAATAAGCTGATATATTACAGAGCATGGCGGTGGAATTGTTTTTTAAGAGCCAAACATGACAGATGTATATTACACAGGCATTGAATACTTTGCAATTGATCTCTAACACCCATCACATGTGCCAATACTTTGGTGCTTTTTTTTGCGGGTGGGTGTCCAAATAAAAGAAAAGAAAATTAAACTCAAAATTTTCTCCCTTCAAAACATAAAAACGTTTGAATTTACATAATTCAATTTCCAACATGTGGTTGCAAATGATAAAACTGTTAAAATTTTCCTTATGGTTCTTGCTTTCACAAACGGGTGAGCACAACCATGGAAATGAATGTACGTATATTATGTGTGAAACAATATTATATTAACTGTAAGTGTGCTAAAATGGCTCATATATCATGCATGTTATTTACATATCAATCATATATTACTAGTATAAAAAATTATGTATATAATCAACTGTCATATCATTAGCAGAAAATTGTAAAGATAGATCAATAATCGTTGGATTAAAAACTACTGGAATATGTTTGATAGAAAAATAATTATATTTAGATGCTAAAATTCAAATTAAATTTAATAACTTGATATTTTTATACTTTGAGAAAAGTTGAAATATTGAATTTATAGGAAAAAAAATGAAGCGTTGTCTTTTAT